ATAAAAGACATTTAATCTTTGCTTTGGTTTGTATATTTCGGGTCTTTCTTTCATTTATATGTATCTCCTATACCGTAATAGCGCTAAATTATTTTTATATCTGTTGAAGAATGCTGATGTGATCAAACGCGGATTGTTATATTAATAGGTATTTGCAATTTGAAATCTTAGATGGAGATTGAATCTATAGACTTAATGTGGTAGTACCTCAAATATTCCTAATGAGAAGTATTGATGGTACTCTTTAGCTGATAACGAGTCCCTAATTTCATGAGCGCGATTGTACCCCACGCGATAAATGGTAAGTGGTCAATTTCCAATCAGCTCTATAAACAAGATTACTTACTAGGACATAATATTATTCACATCATTTTGTTTTGTTCTCTGTAGTTTTCACGAGACTCCTTATTAAGGTTCTGATAGTATATTCTATAGGTATTGAGCTTTCTTTTTCGTTGAATTGCATATTCGCCTAAAAGGGTAATTGAAGTTCTACTTTACTGAATTTGTTCTTATGTAAATTAGGTATTGTTCCGTAGAATCTGTCGGCGAATAACATAATATAATGCCCTACGGACTTTATAGGTGTTTATGAAATAACGAGAATCATTCTGTATCGCTGATGATCGTTCATATATTCATTATTCAAACGTATGCAACTATATCTTGAATCAGTACTCTTTTCAGGTAGTTTCCTCTTAGTCGCGTTAGAAACCCAATCTTTGGGTTTCTAAGATCCAATATCTATCCCATATACAGCAAACCAGTGAAAAGTTTGATCGTCCCCTACATGCCCCCTAATTCCAACACTTGAGACATGAGTGCCAACCTTAATTTCTATAGATCCATGCTAGTTTTTCCCCTGTGATCTAACATTAAACTTCCTGGGTAGTATCGCACAAGAATCCCGCCTACCAGCACTATGTTGAACAGAAGTGGAGATAGTGGGGGCCCTTACCGTCTGTGGTCCGACGTTTCTAAGTGGGAATTCTCGATTATTTCAATTTTACTACTTCCAGCTCTTAGCCCAAGTCTTGAGGACCGCAGCCTAACACTTGTACTGACTGAGCTTTTTAGTGTCATAATGGTGTGTCTTGATCCTTTCCAAAATAACCGCCTCTGTTATCATTAGGATTTCATTTTCACAGGGTTTCCCTTCTAAAATATACATATGACTTTCAGCACTCAATATAGGAAAGCTCATTGTACGTATCTCAATAAAACGAGGTGTAATTTTTTAGTATATAATTTTTGTCAAATACAACTAAGCTTAAATAGTTCAGGCTAAATCTATTCATGAGAAAATAGGTAATCTATGTATCTTTGCTATTTTTCGGTGCTCAGTATATGTGGTGAAATGGATTTATCAGATTTACGTTAATGGGGGAAATGAGACTGAGATAGTCCACCATGCCATCCCTGGGTGCATGAGGAAGTTTCAACTAGCTGGGGTGTTCATCCGTGCATCTGATAGGCGATGATTGCATGACTTTCACCATCCATTTTTGATAGCCGTCTTGATTCCGCGATTAGTACTAGGGCTCTACAAGAACTTCTCCCTTCCCTCATAGGTTTGGGAGACAGAGGGCTGATATATTGCATTCCCCTACCCTCAGTTCCCACTGCTTAGGGTCTGTCGAGAACAGTGGCCAGCTGCTCCCTGGAAACTAGGGTCAAGGGTCCGAGCCAGTTTTATTCTTTTGTGTAGCAATTCTTTACGTCTTTTGTCAGAGATACTTTTGGTCTGGGCGTATAGAGTAATATTGCTTGCTTAACGGTTGTTTTACGAGTGAAGCCAAGATGCACACGCCTATCACTCAGGGAGATATTCCTACGAGGATTTCTTTTCGCATATCCGACATGTTGCTCTGTGTGCGACAGGACGACCATATGGCTAGACACCTCGCCTCACAAGTGGATGCTTGTCTATTAAACACGTGCATTACCCCTCTGAAGTAAAGAACAGTTCTTCCAGATATGTGAGAGAGGGGAGAAGTGGATAGTTCTCGCACAGGACTTGGCAGCACTGGTGTCCACTGTACAGAGAGTCGCCAGGGACATCTGGACCCCGGCGAGACTAGCTGCTGTTGATCCCCTGTGCAGCCTGTTCAGCAGCTGGCGAACATGGTCATTGGGTGAATGATGGCGGTAGGAGGGTTGTGACAATTAATACGCCATCAGCTGTTGACGTACCTCCGGACTCCGTGAGTCAGCATGAGACGTTAACCAGTTGCAGAACACACATTATATCCTCTCAGATTGCTTCTTTCGGAGTTGAAAGCACATAGAACAGAGACCAGTTTTAGTAAGGAGCCCAATTTGTAGTGTTTCCTAGAAAAATCTCCAGGAAGCTCAATGGTCTCATAATACTACCATAAATTCCCACTATTTTCAGACATACACAGTTTGGTTTTTTGCGGAGCTGAGTGCAAAGAATATAATTGATAGTAATTATAAAAATATAAATATACTTGTACCTGCTTATAGAGATCAAGTCATAATCACACAATCCATCTTCTTTTTTATCTGATGAGCTTATTAAGAATTTCTCTTTTCTGCTTTTCGTTAAGCTTAGCCAATGGTGTGTCCAAATTTGTTTTTTTTTCAAGAACCCAACTTTTGTTTATTATCTTGAATAGTTCCTGTTTTTTTTTTTTAGTTTGATTGATCTTGTTGATTTCCACTCTTCTGCCCTGGGTTTGGGTTGGTCTGTTCTTTTTTTCCAGCTCTTTGAGTCTTTTCTTAGAATGTCTATATGTGTCTTTTGATTTGGTTATGCATTTTGGTACTTTTTGAAGCTTTCGCTGTTCCCAGAGGAGTGATAACTTTGTCTCATTGTCGTCTTCTTCTAGATTTTTTTATTTCCATCCTTGATTTCTTTCATATTATTAAGTATTTAGTCGAGGTTGGTTTATTTCACGTTTTTGTGTAGAACTGTGAGTTTCTGTTAGGGCTCTGACTTCTAGTTTTATTCCACTGTGATGCGAGAAAGGACATGGTTTGATTTCCTAGTTTAAATTTCTTGAGATTTACTTGTGTCCTAGGATATGGTCAATCTTAGAGAATGTCCCAAGAGCTGATGAGAAGAACGTATATTCAGTGGATTTGGGGTAGAATTGTCCTATAGATGTCAGTCAGACCACAATTGTTCCAGGGTTTTGTTTAAGTTCATTATTTCTTTATTAATTTTCTGTTTGGAGGATCTTCTTCGTGCTGTCAGTGGGGTTGTTGAAATCTCTGGTGATTATGGAGTTGCTATTAATCCATTTGTTTAGATCCAGTAAGTTTGCTTTATGAAACGGGTGCACCTAGTTTGGTGCATATATATTTAAAATTGTATCTCTTCTTGTTGAAGTGAGCCCTTCACCATTATATAATGGCCCTCTTTGTCTTTCACTACTTTTGTTGGTTTAAAAACTAAATCGTCGAAATTAGAACTGCCACACCAGCCTTCTTTTGGCCTCCACTTGCCTGGAATATTATCTCCACCCTTTCTTTTAGCCTATATGCATCCTTGCAGGTTAGATGTGTTTCCTGAAGACTGCAATACTTGGGCCTGTATTTTCTTATCCATTCGCGCAGCCTATGTCTCCTTGAGTGGAGAGTTTAGCATTCACAGTTATTGAGAGAACTTATAGGTAAGGTAGATTACTGTTCATTCTGTTGGGTTGGATGTTGTTGCTTTGATTTCTCTCTTGAGCCATTGTAATATCTGGCCTTTAATCTTTGGGTTTTGGTTGTTTTTATATTCGTGAGTTTTTATTATGGTGCTCTGTGCGTAACACTGTTTTGAGTACTTCTTGTAGGACTGGTCTTGTCTTGGTGAATTCTCTGAAACTTTGCTTGTCTGGCAAAGCCTTTTTTATGGCCCATAAATGTTGCTGTTGTTTAATTGTGAAATAGTGTCTCTCAGTCTTCCTCATAAGACTTGATCGTCCTTTTTTTAGTTCAGCTCCTTCAGAGAGGTTTTCTTTGATTACCTTAATTGAAGTGGTGTCATCTGAATATTTCCACATTTAAACACATTTATTACTTTTTAAAAGTTGAAAAATAAAAATTGCATATATTTATGATTTACAATGTGATTTTTTGAAATATGTATACAGTGTAGAATGTTAAATGAAGCTAATTAACATATGTATTACCTCACATAATTATATTTTGTGGTGAGAACATTTAAAATCTACTCTCATAGTGATTTTCACGTATATAATACATTGTTCCTAATTATAGTCACTGTGTTCTATGACAGATCTCCTGAACTTATTCCTCCTGTCTAATTGAAATTTTGTATTCGTTGAGCAACATCTCCCTGGCCTTCCAGTCTCTGGTAACCACTATCCTACTTTTTGCTTCTATGAGTTTGACTTTTTTAGATTCCACATATAGGTGAGATAATGTGGTATTTGTCTCTCTGCACCTGGCTTATTTGACTTAGCATAATGTCCTCCAGGTTCATCCATGGTTTCACAAATGACAGGATTTCCTCTTTTTAATGGCTGGATGGTGTTGCATGGTGTATATATACTGTACTTTCTTGATTCATTCTTCCATTGATGGACATTTAGGTTGATTCCATACTTTGGCTACTGTGAATAATGTCACAATGAACATGTATGTCTTTGACATACTTATCTTAGTTAGTTCCTTTGGATATATACTTAGGAATGGGGTTGCTAGATCATCTGGTAGTTCTATTTTATTTATTTATTTATTTATTTAATTTTTGAGTCAGGGTCTCACTCTGTCACCCAGGCAGGAGTGCAATGGCACGATCATAGCTCACTGTAGCCTCAAACTACGGGGCTCAAGTGATCCTTCCACCTCAGCCTCCAAAAGTGCTGGGATTATAAGAGTGAGCCATCATGCCCGGACAAACTTCTTTATATTGCTTATTCAAATTTCCATGCTACCCTGCAGATTGGCATAAGTGTAATTTTCTATATTCTCCTGTAACTGAACTGTACTCATGTGCACACTGATATTTCTTTCTGTTATAGCCTCCCCAAATCAACACAGAAGACCTGGCCATGCTGTCTGTCATTATTTCGGCAGTAAACAGGGCACACTCCTCTCTTATCTTGGATTTCCAAACTTTAGGAGATGGCAAATAAGCAGGTACTTTTTTTCATTTCATCTCCCTTGTTCTTCTTTTCCTCTGTTCCATGGCTTTGTACTGCATCATGTTAACGATGGCTGAGGCAGTAGGATCACTTGAGCCCAGGAGTTTGAGGTTGCTGTGAGCTAGGCTGATGCCACGGCACTCACTCTAGCCTGGGCAACGAAGTGAAACTCTGTCTCAAAAAAAAAATTATACTTTTACTCCATAGCTCTATACAAATAAAAAAAATAACTATATTTACTATGTTGTGTAATAGATCTCACAAAACTTACTTTTCCTGTCTAACTGAAACTTTGTGCCCTCTGACTAACATCTTTCCCATACCCCTGCCCTCAGCCCCTGGTGCCATCATTCTGCTCTCTTCTATGAGATCAATTTTTCAAAATTCCATATATGAGTGGGATTATGCAATATTTGTCTCTTTGCATCAGATGTATTTCACTTATCATAATGTAGTCCAGGTTCACCCATGTTGCCTCAAATAATAGGATTTCCTTTTTTGAAAGGCAGAATGGTATTCCATTTTGTATATATACCATGTTTTCTTTATCCATTGATGGACACTCAGGTTGCTTCCATATCTTGGTTATTGTAAATAATGCTGCAATGAACACAAGCATGCAGGTATCTCTTCAACATAGTGATTTTATTTCATTTGGGTATATATCCAGTAGTGGAATTGCTGGATTATCTGGTAGTTCCATTTTTAATTTTTTGAGGAACTTCCATACTTATTTTCCATAATGGTTGTACTAACTTACATTTCCACTAACAGTGTACAAGAGTTCCATTTTCTCCAAATCCTCACCAACATTTATCTTTTATATTTTTGATTATAGTCATTCTAACACATGTGAAGTGACATCTTATTGTAGTTTTAATTTGCATTTTCCTAACAATTAATGATGTTGAGCATTTTTTTTTCATATATCCATTGGCCATTTTTATGTCTTCTTTTGAGAAATGTCTATTTAGGTGTTTGCCCATTTTGTAATTGGGTAATTTGTGGTTTTTCCTGTTGTTGTTGAGTTGCTTGAATTCCTTATATATTTTGGATATTAACCCATTATTGGATGTGTGGCTTGCAAATATTTTTTCCTCTTCCTTAGGTTGTCTCTTTACTCTGATTGGTTTGCTGTGCAGAAACTTTTTAGTTCAATGCAATCCCACTTGTCCATTTTTGCTTTTGTTGTCTACACTTTTGGGGTCGTATCCAAAAAATTCTTGCCCAGACCAGTGTCATAGAGTTTTTCTCCTATGTTTTCTTCTAGTAGTTTTAAAGTTTCAGGTCCTGAAACTTTTATGTCTTTAAAAGATACATCTTTAAAACTTGAAGCTCCATTTTTGATTTTTGTGTATGGTATGAGATAAGGGTCTAGATTCATTCTTCTGCACGTGGATATACAGTTTTCCGAACACTTTGTTGAATAGTTTGTTTTCTCCTGTATTGTCTTCTTGTCACCTTTGTCAAAAATCAATGAACCATAAATGTGTGGATATATTTCTGGGCTCTCTTATTTTTTTCCCATTGACCTATGTGTTTGTTTCTATGCCAGTACCATGCTGTTTTGAATACTAAAGTATTGTAGCATATTTTGAAGTAAATGTGATGCCTCCAGGTTTGTTCTTTTTGCTCAAGATTGCTTTGTATATTCAGAGTCTTTTGTGGTTCCTTGTGAATTTTAGAATTGTTTTTCTATTTCTGTGAAAAATGTCATTGGAATTTTGGTAGGGATTGCATTGAATCCATAGATTGCTTTTGGTAGCATGGACATTTAAACACTATTACTTCTTCTAATCCATGAATATGAAATACATTTCGAATTATTTGTGCCTGATTTATTTTCTTTAATCAGAATTTTATAATTTTCAGTGAATAAGTCTTTTATCTGATTAAGTTTATTTCTAAGGAATTTCTTTTGATATTATTGAAATGGGATTGTTGTCTTATTTCTTTTTCCAGATAGTTCATTGTTCATGTATTAAAATGCAGCTAATTTACATATGCTGATTTTGTATACTGCAATTTTATTGAATTCATTTATTAGTTCTAAAAGTGTGTGTGTGTGTGTGTGTGTGTGTGTGTGTGTAGCTTTTTCAGAGTTTTGTGTAAATAAAATCCTGTCATCTGCAAACAGGGACAATTTAACTTTTCCCTTTCCAATATGGATACCTTTTATTTCTTTCTCTTGCCTAATGGCTCTGGCTAGGACTTCCTCCTTTGGCTATTAATTTCTAGTTTTATTTCTTTGTGGTCAGAAAAGATATTTGGAATGGTTCAATCTTCTTAAGTTTTTTTGTTTTTTTTTTTTGGTGACCTCATGTATACTATGTCCTAGAGAATATTCTATATCACTTGAGAAGAAACTGGATTCTCCTGCTGTTGGGTGGAATAGTCTGTACTTGTATGTATGAACCATGTGGTCTATAATGCTGTTTAAGTACTCTCTTTCCTATTGATCCTCTGTCTAAATGTTCTATCCATTATTGGAAGTGGAGTACTAAAATTCTCTACTATTGCATTGGTGTTTATTTCTTCCTTCTGTCCATGTTTGTTTTGTATATTTAGGTACTCTGATGTTGGATGCACATATATTTATAATTGTTATATTTTTATAGTGAATTGACCCTTTTATCATTATATCATGTCCTTCTTTGTCTCTTGTGAGAGATTTCATTTAAAGTCTCTTTTTGAAAATGTAAATATGGTTACCCATGCTCTCTTTTGGTTACCATTTTTATAAGATTTCTTTTTCATCATTTCGCTTTCAGCCTATGTATGTCCTTATTCTAAAATGAATCTTTTGTAGATCACATGTATTTGCATCTTGTTTTTATACCAATTAAGACACTATTTTTCTTTTTATTGGATAGTTGGTCCATTTATACTTCAATTAATTATTGATAGGGAAGGACTTACTATTGTCATTTTGTTATTATTGTTTTCTTTCTATCTTGCAGCTCCTTTGTCCCTTTTTTCCTCTTTGCTGCCTTCATTTGTGTTTCATTTATTTTTTGTAGTGATATACATTGAATCCTTCATTTTTTGAGGGTATCTTCCATAGGTATTTTCTTTTTGGTTATTGTGGGGCTTATATGAACCCTCTGATAGTTATAACAATCAATTTCAAAGTACATAGAACTTAACTTGAATTTTATGCAAAAACTATACACATTTACTTCCCCAACACTTAATTTTTCATGTCACAGATTACATCTTTTAATACTGTTAAACCATTAACATATTTTGTAGTAATAATTATTTTTATACTTTTGTCTTTTAACATCCATACCAGAATTCAAGTGATTTATATATAATAGTTAAAATATTAAAATATTTTGTGTTTTCTATATATTTACCTTTATCAGCAATCTTTATATTTTCAAATGCTTTTTTGTTGCTGTGGAGCACCTCTTAGTTTCAATTTGAAGGCCTCTTTTTAATATTTCTTATAAGGCAGATCTAGTGGTGATGAATTTTTTCAGCATTTGTTCATCTGGGAAAGTCTTTATATCTCATTTATTTCTGAAGAACAGTTTTGCCAGATATTGTAATCTTGATTAACTTTTTTCCCTCTTTAGCACTTTGAATATATCATTCTGGCTGCAAAGTTTCTGCTGAGAAATTTGTGTATATACTTAAGTTGCTTCCCTTGTATATGACAAGGGAACTAGCTGCTTTCAAAGCAGCTTTCTAGCTGCTTTCAAAATTCTCTTTTTGTCTTTGAATTTTGACAGTTTGATTACAATATGTCTAGGTGTGGAGTTTTTGAGATTAATTGTAGCTGAGGTCCACTGGGCTTCTTGAATATGAATGTCCATTTCCTTCTCCAGATTTTGGAAGTTTTGGCTATTTTTTTTTAAATAAGGCTTCCAGCACTTTCTCTCTCTTCTTTTTATTAATTTTATAATGCTCATATAGGTTTTTTTCTGGTGTCCCAAAAGTACCTTAGGCTTTGTTCATTGTTTTTCATTCTTTTTACTCCTCTGTTTAAACAATTTTATCTTCAAGTTTACTGATTCTTTCTTTGCTTGATGAAGTCTGCTTTTGAATGCCCCCAATAATTTTTTTATTTCAGTTATTGCATTCTTTAGCTCCAAAATTTTGTTCTTTTTTATATTTTTAATATCTTTTTTGAATCTCTCAATTTTTTAATGCATTGTTTCTCTGTGTTTGTTGAATATTTCTGTGACAGTTATTTTGAAATGTTTGTTAGATAATTTTTATACTTCCTTTCCTTTAGGGTTTGATTTCTGGAGGGTTTGTTTCCACTTTGATTGGGCCGTTTCCCCCCATTTCTTCAGGTTCCTTGTAACTGTGTATTGGTATCCATGCACTTGGAGAAAAAAGCCGTTGCTCCCAGTCTTTATGAACTCACTTTGGACACCTTTACCAATCAGCCTGACTAGAGATCCTGGGGGACTTTCAATTCTTTTCTTGTGGATGTGTCATCTCTGGACTCATAAATGTAGACTCCTAATTAGAGGAATTTGCTGGTTTCTTTTTTTAAGGGATTCATACTTTCTCACTTCCTCTGGCATTAATTCCTCTGGCACCAAAAGTCCTCTGAAGCAGTAGCATGCTGCCCAGCTCTTTTTTTCCCTCAGCAGCCCCTAGGCGTCTAGGGTATGTCAGTTCCCATCCATACTCCAAACCAAATGAAATAAGACATGTCCCTTAGGAAGCCCCTCATAAAGCTGGACAAAGGCTCCACTCTTATCTTTCCCCCTGAGGGAGAGACCACCAAGCTGGTTCAGCCTCTGTCAGCTGTCCCATGGGACATTTTAGAGTATGCCAGGCCCTATCAGTGTTCCATGACAGGCAAGACAGAAGCCAAATTCTTGGGCACGCCCTCTCTCAATTCAGAATGTTGAGCATGTGGTTCAGTCTTCTCTTTCCTCCCTAGGGATAAGCCAAAAGCTATGGGTTTCCTCCCACTTGCTTGATGTTACGCCTGGAAGAGAGATTATTGTGAGAGGGTGCCATGTATTTTTCTACTGGCTTGGATGTGGCTGGTTCTACACTTACATGTGATGCAAGAGTCTCATAACTGGTTTCCTGTTTCTCACAAAAATAATTGCTCTACATACTCTATGTGTTGTTGTTGAATTGGCATCTCTGTGGGAGGAAAGAGGAACTAGTTCTTCCTATTCTGCCATCTTGCTGATGTCACTATATAGATTATTATTTAACTTAGATTTTTATTCTTTTTTATGGATATAGTGTGGTAAGTTACCAACTGTGATGTTTTCCAAAGGTAAATACTGCTTTAAACTATTCCCTTTCCATAATGTGATGATATTTACCTGAGGAATAGCTACTATTATTAATTTGGAAAAGGATGACACTGAATTATATCCATGGAGATAAGAGCAATGATCTAAAATGTATTAACCAGTATTTGCTTTTGGTGTTTCCACTGACTTACCTCTATGTGAACCTTGACACATTATTAAGTTTACACTTCACTTAGCATTATTGTCTACAAAGGTCCTGTGCTTTTTATCTTCTAAATTATCTTCCTCCTGTCTTACTTTCTCGAGCTGTGTTTCCTCTTTGTCTATTGTGATGTCTTCTATGCTTTTCTTGACCTAATCTACCACACCTTCCAGTGACCCCCCAGGGGGACTGGAGTAAGTCGCTTGCCCAGCAGGGGGCCTCAGGGAGCCAGGCAGTGGTCTTCCATGTTTAAGGAAACCTTTAATCAAGCAGATCCCCACACCCAGCTTTGACATCTTTCGATATGTTGCTCTGACATTGACCCAGGAGGCAGTATTTTAAACAAGAGATTTTACCCATTCTCAGAAAGTCATTCTCCCTTTGAAATATCTGAGCTCAGTGGAAGTGGTGGGCCTGCCCCTGTAGAGACTCATATTTGCTGTGTAATCTTGATTAGCACAGCTCTCTAAATAGTACTCTTTTATATATGTAAAACAGAGGTTACAAAAATACACATTTAGTGATTTTTAGAAATAAAGATTGCAAAGCACAGAAGGTACTCACTAACTACTAGCTCCTTTCTTTTTAACTTTTAAAGGCTTTTGTTGTTTCTGCTGCACTAGATCCTGCACAACAAGTACTGTATCAAGCACTCTGCGTGAATCGCCTGACTCAAAATTGACAGGTGAGGTGACTGCCATTACTAGCCATGTCTCACGAAACATAGATCCATGAGCTGAGGCACAGTGAGTAATGTGTCTTCAGTCCTGCAGCTAAAAAGTTGCTGCCCGGGATCTGAATTTAGTCACTCATTTGATAAGAATTTACATTTGCCAGGCACTGCTTTAGATGCAGCATGGGACAAAACAAACAGACAAAACCCACAAAATCCTCTATCATTATGGGATGTATATCTTATGAGGACCAGAAAGCACTAAATAAAATTATGAAGAAAAATCATACTGTATGTTTGAAAGTGATAAGGAGTGTGGTGGATAAAAAGGTAGGGACACTTTTAAAGGAGAAAAAAAGCCACGAGGACTTTCCTTACTGGATATTACAATGTGTTATGAAGCCAAAGAATCACAACCTGGGGATGTTGGTGCAAAGATAGGGACACAGACCAAACTGAATAGGTCCAGAAAGTGACCAATTGCCTGGACATTTGGAAGTACAATTGCCATTAACTGCATGGAGACAGGTTGAGGTGGGTGACACGAGGAGTTTCGAGAAAATCAGATCTGTCCAACTAGACCAAGTCTCACAGTTGTGATGTTCAGATGTGGGTTTCTTTTATCCCAGAGTGGTGCTGGGGCTCCCACAGAGACCTGGCCTGGTGTCCCCGGCCATGCCTGGCCTGGGTCTCCTTCCTCTTGTTATAGCAGGAGCTCGGCTCTCTAGAACATGCACCCCAGCAGTGTTGGTGGCAGCTTGCCCCAGCTTTGTTTCACTTAAACGCTAATTTGAAACACTTCCTTCTGGCTCTACACTAGAAGCTTGCCATTTTGTCTTCCTAAATAAACCTGGCTTCTATTCCTACCTCATGTGGGACACTTTAAGTTCTTATAATCTCACAGGAGGTCTTTGCAGTCTAGGCACATGATAAATGGCCAATTGATGCCCATGACTTATTTTTCTATGAAGTGAAGAAAATCTTCAGGTATTGGGAACAGCATAAAGTGTCAGTGATGGAATTGTTTGACTTTTTTTAATTTTTTATTTTGCTTTCTTTTTCTCAACATTAAACATCATAGTCAAGCAAGAAGGAGGTGACATCTCCCAAGTTCTGGCATTGAAGACCTTCTGGGAAGGCAGCAGTCCCACTGAGTGTGCCCTAAGCCAGGACCCCTTCACTTCCAACTGGAGCAAAAGGGCAGCCACAAAGCTAAGCAGCTGCAGCCCGAGGAGGCTTTTGAGACCTCAGCTCTGCCAAGACCCTTGAGAAAATTTGTGTTAGGCATTTCCTTCCCCTCTGTGCCTAGTGGAAGCTTAGAGATAGGGCTGGAAGGAACTGAAGGAACCCGGAGTCGTCCGGCTTGTTGGAGGGCTAAGCCCAGGACAGCTGAGAGCTCCCGCACAAAGACCATTTCTGTCTGAAATGCATTTATTGTTTGGAGACCTTGGAGTTCCTGGGATTTAATTGGAGCTCCTTACTATGGGTTTGACCTTTTGCTCAGCAGAGGCATCTGAGATAGGTGCTCACTGAAGCTTCATGGCCTGCGAGTCGGAGGATGGGCCGTTGCCTCCCTCTCCCCTCTCCCCTGCGTTGCCAGTGCAGCAGGCTGCACGTCAACAGCAGCTTTCGCTCACCTGGCGACTGTACAGTGGAGTGCTGGGTCCCTGTGGCGAGATCCTCTCCCCACCCTCCGTCTGGCTGTCTTTACTTCAGGGTACTGCAGTGGTTAAGACAAGACCACTGGAGACAGTGTCTGCCCTGGTGCGTGACACAGAGTATCGAAAACTCTTGGAATTTCCTGAGTGATAGGAGTGTCTTTGGTTACTCGTAAAAACACCGTTTACCATACCCGAGTTTATGCAAACGTGACTCATGGTGGACCCTTGACTAGTTTCCAGGGAGCAGCTGGCCACAGCAGAAAGACCAAGCAGGTGACTGGGGGTTGGAACTTTCAGCCCCGTCTCCTAACCTCTGGGGAGGGGAAGGTGGCTGGAGCCCGAGTCTAATCGTGGGCCGGTGAGTCATGCAATCATGCATGAGTGCAGTGAAACCCCAGCTAAAATCTCTGCATGTACACTCAGCATTTCCCCCATATACCTGCCCACCAGACATTGCCCTATACATTTCTTGCATTTCACTCTTTTTAGGTTGTATTCTTTATACTAAAAAATTAATTGTAAGTACATTGCTTTCATTGAGTCTGAGTCATTTTAGTGAATGATCAAACTTGAAGGGTGGTTTGTGGAAAATACCAAATTTATGACCAAATCAGTCAGAAGTGTGGGGGTCCTCAAGACTTGTGGCTAGGGTCTGAAGTGTGGAATTTTGGTGGGACTGAAGCCCGTACACCTGTGGGATCTGTGCCAACTCCAGGAGTTAGTGTCAGAACTACATTGAATTATTGGACACTCAGTTAGTGTTTGGAATGGGGGGGGTCTGGGTTTGACTTAGGAAAGAAAGAGTATTAAATAGTTGCTCTTTGACTATGAAAAGACAAACAGTGTCTGTTTTCAAACCTTGTGTTATATTGTTTAGCAGTATTCGGAATTACCTTAAGAGACATGTAAGTAAATTTTAGGCATTATTATCATTGAGGCTTCAAATATCAGGTTAATAATGTCTCTGTTATTGTTAATTTATTTTCATTAAGTATCTTTCTGAGCTTTGAACTATGCTACATACTCTAATTAGGGAGATTTCAGCTAAGAGTCATACTCTTTGGTAATTGGGAATAGGGATATCAACATCTAAATAATATACAGGTTTATCAGGTATAGTCAAGTCATATAATAGAAACCAGATAGGTTGTTTTGACAAAGGGAATTTAGCATGATAAATTGCTAATTAGGGATTAGCTATCTGAAAAGAGAGAGAGCAAAAAAAAAAAAAAAAAAACAACCACGTGGGTTTCATGGAAGTAGTGACTTCACCAAGCACTAGGCTGGATTTATTACAGCTTGGACATTTGGAAGAGGAGCCCATGGAATTAAAACCCAGCCTCTGAGAAGCGAGGGCTGCTGGACTGATGTTGATGTCCCTGAGGGGTATGACGGGCTGGCTCTGAAGGTATGGAAAACGGGAGTCAGGGGCTGCCTCTGAAGTGCAAGGCATTTCCGCATTTCATTCTGTTGCCAAAGTGAAGAAGGGTTACTAGGATAGCTTTTAGGCACAAAGGAAGAAAACTAGATGGAGTGTTTCTGTCTTCTGCAGCTTGGCAGGCTGACTTTAGGACTCCCAACAGAAGGGTTTACAAGCAGCAGCTGACAAAGCAGTCAAATCCTATAGCTTTGCGATTCATAATTCCTTTTTGTCTTTACTTTCAGAAAGACTTCCTCAATCTTTTTGGTTCTAATTTTTATACATTTATAATTTTGTTTGCTATGGTTGGTTATGTTAATGTTTGGCATATACAAGGTAGGAGGATAAAAACAAATAAATTATATGTAAATGAATCTAGAACCAAAAAAAACCCCCAAAATGCAAATAGAAGGTGCTAGCTAGCATTACAGCTCCATTCTACTAAAGGGGGAGCCAGTGCAGACGTTACTAATCTCAGTTCCCTTTGTCACTAGATGAATGGCCTTGGTCAAGTTATCACAACCTCTCTACTAATCAAATTCTTGTATGAAAGGGGGAATCATAAAAGTGATTACATCATGGGGTTATTTGAGTATTAAACATGAGGGTGTGCATAAATACACTTCATATAGTGCCTGCATCTTGGAAGCCTTCTACAAATGCTTGCAATAACCATTACTTGGAACTTGTTATTTAAGATTTTATTGTCCTTAACTCTGATTGTATTTGTGTAGCTTGTGTTCTCAACTAGAGTATATGCTTTTTTTTAGGTAAGAGGTTATGCTGTTTTTATACCCATGGAACCTAATATTGAGTCTAAAATATCCACGATAGATATGCTTGTACTAGTTCCCAGTTAATGGTGGGAACATTTTCTAGAGAAGAAAACTTGAACTATAAGGGGGAAAAAAAGCATCGCCTAAGATCACAGGAAAAAGAAAGCAGTCCACTTCATTCTTGGAATTTTAAAAAAGAGTCATATAAAATTTATGAATATTTAAATCTATGGTGAAGAACATGCATTTATTATAAGTTAAATAAGATTATGTTTCAGTTTCATGTTATATACACTTAGGAGTAATGGAAAAGGAAGAAAGAAACCTGAAAAAGACAAATGGGAGAAAAATAGAAGAACTATAGGAAGAGGAAAAGGGGAAAGAATCAGGAAATTAGAAATTAAATAATTCAACAAATACTTACTGAATATTGGGTCTGTTTAAACAATTTTGAAACATATGGTCTCTTAGAATTATACTTGAAGAATTGGTTTTATTTGTAGATGGAGGATTTTAGGTGTTGTGACTACACAGGAAGTGAGATGTTCTCGGTGGGAATTGTTGAGGCTTTACTATCTCTCCAAGTGCTAGCTCCTCGCTGTTTGGTTATTACTTCTGAGGAGAAAGGTGCTCAAGCACATGGCACCCTTGCTCAGTGCTCCCTAGCAGTGGGGGCGGCACGTCTCAGATCTTCATCTTCTGAAGAGCATCCAGATTTTTGCCAGGAGTCTTCTCAGAGTTCCCTTCACGTCTTTATTCCTCAGGGTGTAGATGAAGGGGTTGAGGGTCGGGGTGATTATGGAGTAGAAGAGGGAGATGAACTTGCCCTGCTCTTGGGAGTAGCTAGAAGGGGGCTGCAGGTACATGTAGATGGCAGGCAGGTAGAAAAGGGAGACCACCACCAGGTGGGAGGAACACGTGCCAAAGGCCTTGCGCCGTCCCTTGGACGACTGGATCCTGAGCACAGCACGGGTGATAAACCCGTAGGAGAGAATGATGAGAGCTAGTGGGACCAGCACAAAGAAGGCCACCAGCACAGCCAGCGTGGTGTCATTCACAGCCGTGTCGGCACACGACAACTTGATCATGGCTGGCACCTCACAGAAGAAGTTATTCAGCACCTGCCGCCCACAGAAAGGCAATTGCACTGTCAGGGCTACCTGAACAAGGGAGTTGCCGAAGCCGCTGAGCCAGGCCGCCGCCACGAGCTGCTGGCAGAGGGCGCGGTGCATGACGCAGCGTACCGGAGGGGCTCACAGATGGCCACGTAGCGGTCCAGGGCCATGGCGGCCAAGACCACGCACTCAGTGCATCCCAGCCAGTGGAAAATTGCATACTGCACTGTGCAGCCGCCGTAGCTGATGGTCTTCTTGGAGCTGCCCATGTTGACTAGCATCTGAGGGACCGTGGTGGCCGTGTAACAGAGGTCCAGGAAGGACAGGTGGCTGAGGAAGATGTACATGGGGCTTTGCAGCTGGGGATCCAGCCGGGACACCAGGATGATGGCAATGTTCCCTAACATGGCCAGAATGTAGAACACTAGGAGGACCACAAAGAGAGGCAGCTCCAGCCATGGCCTGTCCGAAACACCCAGGAGGATGAAGTGTTGAGGGGGATTCCCCAAGAAGCTCTGGTTGTCACTTCTCATGTCGAGGCATTTTCATCCC